CCCCAAAACCCCAAAACCCCAAAACCCCGCCAGATCAAATCTATTCGAAATTGAAATTATGAAATTAACATTAATTTTAAGGCTACTACTCATTAGTTATATCAGTCAAACTAAGTAGTATTTTTTCTTTTTTCTTAGTTCAATATGCTCCGGAGAAGCTACCATATCGAGTTACTTGAGTTGATCATGATCATGAATTGATGTATCAAGTCTTTAAGTAGAGCTTTTGCTCCTTACTTACGACTAATTCATTTTTGAAAACTTACTTTTTTATCTTTAAGGGCTTTGTTGAAACTAATCATTAGCTATTTCTACTGGCTTAAGGCTATCAAAAATACTGAATGTTTTTTAGTTGGGAGAGGTAAGTACGATATGCTTATTTCTGAGAGGAGGTTTGTTGCTTTATGAATCAGCAGAGTCAAAACACTCTGAAACACTGTATTCAATTTCAATGTCATGCTTTTTATTTCTAAAAGGCGAAAAATTCAATCTTCTCTTTAGACCTGTTAGACTTTAATGCAAATTGCTCACATCTATCTGTGGAGATGCGATCTGAGAAAATCTTTAGGGAGTGCTCATTATCTAAATTTCCAGCATCTCTTTCAATACTTCATTTCTCTCATCTTCATCATCATCTAGCTCTACATTTCTCTAAATAATGCCCAGCAGCAGCCTTTTATCAATCAAATTCAGAATAGTCTTTTCCTAGAAGTACCTTAGACTCTACCTTATTTCACTTTCACTTCCAAATAGATAGTTTCTTCTTTTTTACTCCATTTCAAACTCCTCGACTGTTCTTAATCTTTTTAACTTTATGGACTTCAACTAGTTATCTTAAAACTCTTCAAGTTCGTTATCAGAGATGTTGCTGTCTATTACATTCTTTTTTTGCATCTAGAGTATCTTATTTTGATGCTTATTAAGAAATATGCCTGTAAGTAGTTTAAATTATCTAATTGTTCTCAAAATGGTAAGTGCATCAAACTCATTAGCCAACTTCTTTTTAGCTCTTTCAAAGATTTAAGTTTTTTTCAAAAAAGTTTCTTTTGAATGATGATCACCTGCAGATCTTTGTTTTTTGCAAATTATAATTTTAGAGAAGAGTATAATAATCATTTCTTTTAAGCCAAAATCAAATCTAGCCCTTTTACTAAGTTCTTCGAATATCTTTTTGGACTGAGAAGATATCAGAAGTTTAGCATCGAATGAAGTAAAATTGCTATCCTTATAAAATAATGTGGCACTCGACTTCTTCTTTCTAGGAGATCTTTTCAATTTATATTAGAGCTGCTTATCTTACTCATACTTAATGATATTCTCCTCATCTCTAGAAAGTGTTGAGGGTAAGAGGTCATTATTTGAGAAATTCTTTCTACTAAACTTGTCCTCTATTTGATAAATGGATTTGATTATAGAACTTTGCAAAAGATCATCATGAAATAAAGCCATAAATAAGTAACCTAGAAGATACAGCGAATTTATGATCCCTCCAATATCCCCAATCATCTGAATGAAGGAGTAGGGCTTACGCTCGTAGATCTTATACTAAGAATCTAACTTAAATTATGCTTTTAAATATATCTATTCTTTATTATCCTCTAAATTTAAATCTCTTAGGGCATGTCTATGGTCACCTAATTAAATGAAAGTCTAAGAAGTAGAACTCCATCCAGTAAAATCATCAGTGATCTTTAGTAAATTACTTTTAAGATATATGTCTATATCTTAGCCCAGATTTCTAAGTACATTGAAGTTAAATGAGTCATCCCAATAGCTTTTCAAGATCTAAGGATCATCTGCATTCGAATTTGCTGACTCAATATCAACATAAGAAGTGTTAATAAGCATTTTTATATTAAACTATTAAAATGTAAATATTAAATGATTACATCTATAAGAAAGGCTTATCTCTAACTTAAATCTATGCATGACGCAGTTGAAATTTCACACCCCTTAAATTGCAATTAAAGCTAGGACTGCAGTTAAATCTCAGAATTATCCTAGTATTAGCTTATAAAAGTATCATTTTTTGGACAAATAAATTCTTGTAAATGAAAGTCTGAATTATTTTAACACTCTTAAAAGCCAATTTCAATATCTTGATTGGTTCCATTAATTAACTACTTCTATATCATAATTATAGTCCCAATTTCTCTTGGCAATCGCTTAGATAACTAGAGTTTCAACTAAATAGGTCTATAAGTGATATAATTAAAAAATATTTTAAACTGATGGCTCTTACATTTTCTATTAATTGTGCGAGAGTTGCTAATACATCCCATTCTGAATATTGTAAGTATCATTAGTAATCAGATCCTTGTTTAATAGTGTGTTCATTTTGTAAATGACGTAAGTCACAATAATAAGCAGAATTATCAGAGAAACACTTCCACCTAGTCAAGTTTGAAATGTTCTATAGACCAAAGAATATAAGCATGCAAAGTTAATTACTTTTATCCTTTATATGTAAGACTAACAGGCTGTGCATATAGATCTATTTTCTTCAAGTAGTTCTTAATTTGCTTTTTGTAACTTTTCATCCAGTTTTAATTTATTAATGTCCAATACACTAGTCTCTAATACTATTGTTTAAATCTAGTAAGGATCTTAATTAAAATATAATAATGTAATAATTAAAGATAAAACTGATTAGTTCTTTTTATATATTCTATGCACTTTAGATTTTGAATCTAGGGGTTTTGGGGTTTTGGGG